CGGACACATGGTGAGTGCCGATGGCATATACGTGAACCGGCAAAAGGTCGAAGCTGTAAAAAAATGGTAAGTCCCAGAGAACATGAAGGAGTTGCAGCAATTCCTTGGCTTCACCAACTACTACAACTGGTTCGTACCACAGTACGCTAAGATAGCAGCGCCACTGACGAACTTACTGAAAAAGGATACACCCTATAAATGGGATACTCCTCAACAGCAAGCCATGGAGCAGCTACAGACAGCACTGACTACAGTGTCAGTAATCATCCTACTAGATCCGACAAAGAATACGTGGTGGAAAAAGACGCTAGTGACCAGGAAGTCGGAGCAGTACTGATGCAGGATCACGGACGCGGTTTGCAGCCCATCGCCTACCTCAGTAAGAAGCTACATGGAGCAGAACTGAACTACCCCATCCACGACAAGGAAGCCTTAGCGATAGTCACAGCCTTCAAGGCGTGGAGGTGTTACCTAGAGGGAGCCAAGACTACAGTCTATATTCACCACTGCAGTCTCAAATACCTTAAGTCGCAGCCTACACTCTCACGACGACAGGTGCGGTGGGTGGACTTCTTGGAAACACACTTCCACTACGACATCGTCTACAAACCCAGGCTACACAACAAAGCTAACGCGTGGAGCCGCCCCGGACATGAAGCAGGCATCCAGCTCGACGGGATGAACCCTCTACTCAAGGGTCTATTCCAACATGGGTACTCCGTGGACGCAGAGATCGCTACAGCACAGAAACAGAAGCTGTTACAGTGGGAGAAAGACTTAGCGGTAAGGAAGGGTTCAGGAAAGATTTGGGTACCGAACTATGCCCTACTCGGACATATCTTATTGGAGGAGTTCTAGGACGTAGCATACGCGGGACATTTTGGGAGCAACAGGTCGTTAGCAGGAATAGCTAAGTATTACTACTGGCCTCAGATGGTAGTAGACGCGCAGTGGTTTGTCACTTCCTGCGACACGTGCCAGCGGATGAAGAGTAGCAAGCAGAAAAAAGCAGGGTTACTTCAGCCTTTACCGACTCCGGTTCCTCCTTGCGGAGTTCCAGGTGTTGGACCCTGGGACGCCGACCGTCCTTCGTGTGGACAACCAGTCTGCCATCACTGTTGCGGAAGGCTTGGGGCTGAAGGGGAACCTCAAGCACATAGAGCGACGCTACGCCTGGCTGCAGCAGATGGTGAAGCGCGGAAATATAGCGTTGAAGTACATCCACACCTCTAAGCAGCCAGCTAACTTACTCACGAAGGGGTCTGCACTTTCCGGCCCTCAACCGGTGCTCCGTCACGATCAACCAAGTTCGTCTGGCTCACGTCGACGACGGTGACGACGATGTGCAGCAGTAGGTGTCGTGCCCTTCTGCACGGCTGGTGCGGTGACCGGCGTGCAGTGTGTTGTGTGCACACCAAAGGATTTTCCCCGTGTATTCTATCCCTTGGGTTATGGGTGGACCTTGCGCGTAGGGTCCCCAAGCGTGAGCGCGACAGGGGAGTGTTGAAGGAAGTTGGCCCCGCCCTCGCTAGGGCAAAGCTGACTTCGTGGTCGGCTGTATGGGAGGTGCAGCCGACCCTCTGCAGTATGTGAGATCTGGAGCTTTTGCGCAGGTTGGGTGAAGGGTTGCCTGTACACCAGGTGTACTAGGGAACCCATGCAAGAGTAACTGAAGCATCTGCGAGAGCAACGCAAACGTCTCGTGCACATGTGCAAGTGGCGCAGCTGGTGCAGAGGTTCGCGGGTGTTCATCTGCACAGGGCCGCGTCTGACCCTGCGCGCCCTCGCAAATGGACAGGCGAATTTTGGCTAGAAATTCGATGTGCCCTAATTTTGACCAATGAAGAGCCGGAATTTCGAACTGTCGACCGATATGGTCAATGAAGGTTGTCGACGAAGGTCGTCGACCCGCGACGACGAAGGTCGTCGACCGGCGACGACGAGGACCGATGATGACGAAGGTCATCGACCTACAGGGTTACCTGCTCGTCGAGGTTCTGCGGAGGTGCGCGAACGTCGTCGAGGGTGCTGTGCTGAAGTCGACTGTCGTGGCCGCACGTGGTCGACGAGGCTCATCAGGTGCAACTTTCTGCATGAGGCCAACTTGGCACCAACGCAATGTGCTCGACAGTGCACATCGTGCGTAACTGTCTACAAGCACCTGCGAAGTAGGTGCTTGCACATGCGCTTACAATCACCTGCGGATGCAATGTTGGCAAGCCGCGCGGATGCTGCGTTGGCAAGCCGCGCGGGTGCAGCGTTGGCAGGCCGCCATTCTGCAGCGTTGGCAAGTCGCACACAAGCTGCGTTGGCGGGCCGCGGAGTTGCTACGTTGGCAGGTCAACAACTTTGTCACGCTGGCGGTCGACCTGCCTGAGTGCTAGCAAGCCTTGCATCTGATGTAATAAATATTTGCCATTGCTTGTTCATTCTGAATTCTGTATTTTCAACTTTCCTTAGTGAAACTCTTGCTGTTTTGCCCTATGAACGCACAAGTGGTAGAGAACACAGACAGAGCTACGATCACTCTGACAACTCGCACCTACCCCATAGTCTAGCTCCGACCGTTGTAGAGTTAATCTCCCCACCCCCCGCCCCCTCCTCTCCCCCCCCTCCCCTCCGCTTTCTTCTTCCTTGTCGCTTTTGTATGTGCCTCCTCCCCCCCCCCCCTCCCCCCTCTTTCTTCTTCCTCATTGCTTTTGTATGTGCCTCCTTCCCCCCCCTCCCCCCCATTCTTCTCAATGGTCACATTCGTATCCTCCTCCCCCCCCCCCCCCCCCCTTTTTTTTTTGCTTCTCACTTTCGTATGTGGCTCCCCCTTTCTTCTCGCTGCTCCCTCCCGTTCACGCCTCACACCTTTCTTGCAGCACTCCCGTCCATTCCCTCACATGATTTCCGGCTGCTCACACGCATCTCCCTCTCACGCTCTCACCAAAAGACGCATAGACTTGGCTTAATATGAAAAATTTTGAAATACACTTTTCAAATTTTAAAAATTATGACAAGTCTTGTATAGGAGGTTGCAGTAAGGAGTCACGATCTCTTTGGACCTGCCACCTAGTCCAATTCATTTCTAGATCTACATCTAGAAACCATCCCATCCCACCCTAGCGATGGTGTTCATTGACTTACACGTAAATTCGATCGATACATGTGATTGTTCATTTTTTTTTTTTTCATTTCTTTATGTCTCAATCACCTTTGTAATTTGCAATCTAGTGTGCTGCACTATTGAGATCTGAAATGCTATGACGACTGCTCTGTTCTGCTCTATATGACGACTGCTCTGCAGACTCCTTGAAGAATCTTGCCTTAATCTTTGCTACTACGGACTACGGAGGAGAATGAAACTCAAGTCTTTTTGTCTTCACCCAACTTCCCAACACCCCCAAACCCAAATTCATGTGTACATCGTATTTTGCAGTTTGTTTGAAAGTATTAAAAAGCACGTACCGCTATATGTCCACCCTAACAAAAGTCTCATGGGTCCTACAATATATGTGGGGGATTGCGTAGTTGACTGATACTGTTGAGATAGGTAGCTAGGTTAGGACTAGGGTTTAGGAAAGAGAGTTTGGCCAAAGAGAGGAGGGTTTCACTATTGAGCAAAGGGTACAAATAGAGAACAAACATTCAAGGAAAGGTGCACCACCAACAGTTTGTAACAATAACTACAGTAACTACAGCAAGCAGGATATAACAACTTTGACACACCCCCTTAGCCTGCTTGCGGTAGGAACTGGTGCAGTCGGCACCCCCTGAAAGAGTAAACCAGACGCAGTGGAAGATGGCAGAGAGGTAAGGAAGGAGGAGGAGGCAGAAGGAGAGGAGAGAAGATGAGAGGAGGTGGGGGGCTTGCATGAGCACGCACGCTCAATGCCCGGGGTACCCGCTTACGAACCTCCTTTTAAAAAGGGGGAAGTGAGAGAGGAAAGGGAGAGGAGGTGGGCTAGGTGGGCATGAGCGCGCACGCTCATAGCGATCCCCCCCGTTAATAACCCCCAAGTCCCGATGAGGAGAGGAGGTGGGCTAGGTGGGCATGAGCGCGCACGCTCAATGCGATCCCCCCCCCCCCCCCCGTTAATAACCCCCAAGTCCCGATGAGGAGAGGAGGTGGGCTAGGTGGGCATGAGCGCGCACGCTCAATGCGATCCCCCCCCAATAAATAACCCCCAAGTCCTCACCCCCCTTTTCAGTCAACACCTTTAACCTCACTCCCTCCGCACCTTTCTACTTCCGCCACCCCCTCACACTCCTCCCCTTTTCCCCCCCCCCCTTCTCCACGGCGACAAGCCTGTAGGAAGAGAGAGGGGAGGGACAGGGTGCTGGCTGGTCACCCCCGCCACCCCCACATCTCCCCCCCCCCCCCCCCACGGCAGAAGCCGCGGAAGGGAAGGGGGGGGCGGCGCACGGAGCTGCGGGCGCTGGCGCTTCGCGGCTGGCGCAGGCACACGCGCTGGCGCTGGTCGCTGCTCGCTGGCGCTCGCGGCTGGGGGACGCGACGGATGGTCAGGGCGCACGGGGCGCGACGGACGATCAGGGCGCAGCGGGGGCACGACGGACGGGCAAGGCGCACGGGGTGCGACGGACGCGCAGGACGCACGGGGCGCGACGAACGGGCAGGGCGCTTCGGGCGCGACCGGGCATAATGGGACGGGACGGGTAGGCGCCTCGGGCGCGATCGGTGTCGGAAAAAAAATAGTGCATATTGCGCTGCCGCGTGAGCGGGCCCATGTTCCTGAAAGAAAATAGGTCCTAAGACAGTAGTAGCTCTGACAGCATGTTGAGATAGGTAGCTAGGTTAGGACTAGGGTTTAGGAAAGAGAGTTTGGCCAAAGAGAGGAGGGTTTCACTATTGAGCAGGGGTACAAATAGAGAACAAACATTCAAGGAAAGGTGCACCACCAACAGTTTGTAACAATTACTATAGTAACTACAGCAAGCAGGATACAACAACTTTGACAAATACATGTGAGAAAGGGTGCACTAGTAACCAAGTATCATTGCAGCTCCACGTAGACCTACACGAGAAAGCAAGAGAGTTGATAAGGGGTGTACACAAATGAGATAACACATCACCGCAGTGTACAGATGCGATGCTTGAGCCAAAACATGGATTACCGGTACGTGACGAAAGGAGTGTAATCGGAGGGACATGATGAGATGTACATTATGAGAGGCATGCGATGAGATGCACATTATGAGAGGCATGCGATGAGATCCACATTATGAGAGGCATGCGATGAGATCCACATTATGAGAGGCATGCAATGCGATGCACATTATGAGAGGCATGCGATGCGATGAATGTGGTGGGAGGCATTTGATGGGAGGCATGTGATGATTGGAGGTATGTGGCATCAATGCCAAGGTGCATGGGAATTGGAGTGGGCAAGCACCTCGGTGGGAGTGAGTGCATCGTATGGCTTGGAGTCCCGTGCATCCACAACCCCCACCCCCGATATCTTGTGCACGCCACTTGCTAGTGCCACCATGGACTGGCACACAGGGGGTTTGAGGCGAACAGTGGCACACAGGGGGTTTGAGGCGAACAGTGGCACACGAGAGCATGCGTGTGAGTTTCAGGAGGCAGGGAGATGCGAGCATGCATGCGACGACAAGCAAGGAGAGGCAGTGGGGAAGGGGATGATGAGGGGCCAGAAGCTGGGTAGATACTAGATGACACGGGTGTGACAGAATTGGAAATATGAGGATTAGCCCAGGATGAGGCTGTGACTCAAGAATGGAAGGAAGAGCATGATGGAAGGAAGAGCATGATGGGAGGAAGAGCATGATGGGAGGAAGAGCATGATGGGAGGAAGAGCATGATGGGAGGAAGAGCATGATGGGAGGAAGAGCATGATGGGAGGAAGAGCATGATGGGAGGAGGAAGATGGTTGGAGAGTGCAAATGGTAGAGAAAAGTGGGTGCAAGCATTGGAAGATAGGTATGGTGGCACACCAGATTGAAATCGGCAGATGAGTTAGGAGCGATGCTGATGATAGTCTGTTGGGGAGAAGGTTGAGTAGGGGACAGAGGGAGAGAGCGTGGGTTAGAGAGAGGGCGGAGGCGGAGGAGAAGGTGGGTGGGGGGAGGGTGGGTGCAGGGGGGAAGGAGGGGGGAGGGGGAAGGGGGGGGGGGGGAGGAGGAGGAGGAGGAGGAGGAGGAGGAGGAGGAGGAGGAGGAGGAGGAGGAGGAGGAGGAGGAGGAGGAGGAGGAGGAGGAGGAGGAGGAGGAGGAGGAGGAGGAGGAGGAGGAGGAGGAGGAGGAGGAGGAGGACGAGGAGGAGGAGGAGGCCACAATTCTAGACAATTAGAAAAAGAAACAGTTGTGGATGAGGCACATCACGGCGAAACAGAAACATCACTTCTTCCACACGTTGTTCGGTCACGCTTGTCATGACAATTCCCCATTTGTAATTAATGGCTGAGAAGAGACTGCCCCTTTCCGCCCTGATCCTTTTTTTGAAAATTCCTCTCTGCCCTGGCCCTTATTTTGACTTGGCCGCAGCGTGGGGGCTTGTGATTTCACCTCACGAATGATTGTATGGCAAAGGAGAGTCTGATCGGGCAATCTCTGTTGATATTCCAGAGAGAGTAGACTCTCTTGCCTTCAACTATGCTGCATGTGTGGAAAACGTTCGCCCCACTATCACCAAGCTCCACCGCATCCAACCTGACCATGCTCCATCCGAGTCCCACTCTCACCCCACTCCACCGCACTGCACCTCACCATGGTCCAAGGGCCGCTGACAACGATGGCTCTGGGGGTGGTGGTAGTGACGGGCTCGTCCCGGGCGATGACTATTCGCAGCGGGCCCAAAGGGCGGTCGCTGTTGTTGTGCACCCGACAGTGCACCTGGGTTGAGGAAAAGGATGGACAGGGCGGGGGCAATGCAGGGGGCAGAGGCCAGTTGGCAGGGGACATGAGGCGGAGGGTAGAGGGGACGGGGGATAGGGCAGAGGGCAGGAACGAGAGGGAAGGGAAGGGAGAGGAGGAGCGCGAGGGAAGGAGGGAGGAACCATGGTGGAGACGAAGAAACACATGGTGAATGAAGCATGGCGGGGGTTTGAAACAAGCGGGTGTGTGGGGAGTTTGAAGCAAGTGGGGGTGAGGAGATTTTGAGGCAAGTGGGGTGTTGTAAATGTATATTATATACAACATTCATAGGCTAGAATAGGTGTAGTCCGATATGTTCTTGTGGGGTTGGGTGTACACTCCACCCACACTTTGTGGTTGGTCAAGATTGGATTTGGCCATGGTCCTTGGTTGGCGACTTTTGAGTCGACTCAAAAGTCATGTGGTTGGTCAAGATTGGATTTGGCCATGGTCCTTGGTTGGCACTTGCCAACTTTTGGTTCTTACACCAACCAATCTCAACCTAGCTACATTGTGAGGTTGCTTACTCCACAAGGCACCTCACCCATTGGCCAACTTAGTGGCCAATAGGGTTAGCTCCTCCTCCGCTCTTCTCTTCTTTGCATGCTTGTATTATAGAGCCTCTTGGCTCATTACTAAACACAATCATGAGTTCTAACATGGGGGTGTGGGGAGTTTGAAACAAGTGGGGGTGCGGGGAGTTTGAAGCACGAGGGGGTGTGGGGAGGTTCAAACAAGTGGGGGTGTGGGGAGCTTAATGGCATATACTATACACAACGGGCTTGATAGCTGGACACCTCATTTGAAGCAGGAGGTTGCAGGCAGGGCGTAGCCGGCAGGGGGGAGCATGCAGGAGGGAGCAGGCAGGAGGGAGCAGGCAGGAGGGAGCAGGCAGGAGGGAGCAGGCAGGAGGGAGCACGCTTAGTTAGCGACTAGACGCAGCATTTAGACGCTAGACGCAGGACGCACCCGTAGACGCTAGACGCATGGGGTAATTTTTTTCGGGCAGCCCGGAAAAAAAATTCGCGCGCGCGAAATTGAATTTCGCGATTTTGATGTGAAATTCAATTTCGCGAAATTTGAACCCCCTCCCACCCATTTCGACCACCAAAAACAGCTCCCCCAACCAAATTTTGTTAACCCCCAACCTAAATTTCAACCCCAAAGCCCTTTTTGGACCACCACCAAAGGCATATAAGAGCACAACCACCTCATCTGTGCTCCTCATACCTAGTTCAGCTCAATTCTCCTTCAAAAACCCTTGGGGTTTACACGCTACCTCAATTCTCTTTCAAAAATCCTCAACCCTATCTGCAAAAATGTGTGCAATGTCCTTCTCCCTCCCCTCCCCATGCCCCATAGAACGTTCTTTTGGCTGCCCGTACTTTTTGTTTGCCTGCCAGGGCTTGCGTCTATCCCAGCGTCTAATCTACCCAAGACGCGCGTCTAGCGTCTTAGACGTTGCGTCTAGACGCCAGCGTCTAAGACGCTAGGCGCGTCTTCCGCAACTAAGGGAGCACGCAGGGCGTAGCAAAAGATCCGGAGGAAGGCATTCCAAAAAAAAGGGAAAGGGAAACCCAGAAAGAGGCAAAGTGTGGGTGCGAGGGGCAGCGGGATGCAGGGAGGAGGGAGGGAGGGCACGAGGCGGGCAGGGCAAGGCAAGGCAAGGCAAGGCAAGGCAAGGCAAGGCAAGGCAAGGCAAGGCAAGGGGCGCACGAGGAAGGGTCGCTCGAGCACGATTCTGCTGGGCAGGCTGACGAGCTTCAGCTCCACCTCCTTGCGCGCTATGGGCTGATGGGGGCAGGTGGGGAAGGGGGAGGAGTGGGCAGCGAGGATGAGGAATGGCGCGGGGATAAGGGGGGCGGGGGGGGGTGGACAGCAGCAGAACAGAGATTCCGGACGTCTCAAAGCTTGGAACACACGCATGCAGTGCAGTGCACCGCACTTGCTGCTAAGAATGAGGGTGGAGGGTAACAGGGACCCATCTAGTTTTGAGGCGCCTCAAAACTGGAAGGACTGCTTGTATGAACCCTTCTCTTCTCCCCATCCACATTTCCATTCACAACCAGCTCCCAAAACGCTCATTCCATCCCTACCATTCGCCCTCCTCCACCTCCACCCCCTCCACCCCGTCCACATCCTGTCCCCCCTTCCCATTCCACCTTTCCCCATCCCACTTTCCCTACCCCATCCCCCTTCCCCATCCCTCTCCCCCCCTTCCCCCCTCCCCCTCCCCACTCACATTCCCCAGTATCTGCTGGGTCTGCAGTCGCCCCGGCTCCCCCAGTGTGGACCGCCAGAGGATCTCCAGCCGCCCCAGCGTGTTCCCCCCCTCCACCTTCGCCGCGGCCCCCCCGCCTCCCTCCCCCGCCGCCCCTCCCCCGGCGGCAGCAGGGGGCGGGGGGGTTCGGTGCAGGTGGTAGAGGAAGTGGCGCGTGCCGCCGTTGGCTCGAATCAGATCCACCGGCTTGAATAGCGCCCTGAGAATTGAAGACGGAGAAGGGGAGGGAGGGAAAAGGAGGACCATGAGTGTGTTGTCTGCGATGACGGGGGTGCTGGGTGCAGGTGGTAGAGGAAATGGCTTCTGCTGCCGTTGGCTTTAATCAGATCCACTGGCTTGAATAGCGCCCTGCGAGTTGGAAAGGGAGAAAGGGGGGAGGGGAAGGAAAGGAACACCAACACGGGTGTGCTGTCTGTGAGGAGGGGGTTGCTGGGTGCAGGAAACGGCGCGTGCCGGCGTTGGCTCGAATCACGCCCTGGTTTGAATAGCGCCCTGCGAATTGGGTAGAGGGGGGAAGGGAGGGAGGGAGGGAGGGAGGAGAGGGCGGGAGGGAGGGAGGGAGGGAGGGAGGGAGGGAGGGAGGGAGGGAGGGAGGGAGGGAGGGAGGGAGGGGGAGGGAGGGAGGGAGGGAGGGAGGGAGGGAGGGAGGGAGGGAGGGGGGGGGAGGGAGGGAGGGAGGGAGGGAGGGAGGGAGGGAGGGAGGGAGGGAGGGAGGGAGGGGAGGGAGGGAGGGAGGGAGGGAGGGAGGGAAGGATTGAGGGAGGAAGGGAGGGACAGACGGACAGACGGTGGGAGGGAGGAAATGAGGTGGTGAAGGAAATGTCACGTCTCTCCTTCTTC